ACGCTCAAATATTCATACGTTTGCACAAATAAATAGCAAAAATCCAAAAATAAATTTATTAATTAGTCAGACATGATTGAGATACACCCTCGATAATATATACAAAAAAAACCGAAATAAATAAATAAAATATTATAAGTCTTAATAAATTAAACTTAGACATTATGACTTATATGATAATTAATTAAATGAGTATAAGATTCATATCTAAAATCCTTAATTATTCCATCATTTTTATATTTATCAATCAGTTTTTTATAATCCTCGCTCTCATAAATAGAATCAGATGTAAGTATAGAAAGTGGACAACCTCTCCATTTTTCTAAGAATTCCTCCAAATTTTTTAATGAAAATTTAAAATCATCATAAAACTTAATTTTTTTTAAATTAGTTGGTGCAGAATTAATTAATATTTTTAATAACTTTTCTCCATTCTCTAAAATTTTTTCATTAGTTTCTATCATATCAATATTTAATATAACTAATAATAAAGATTTCAAATTTTTACAAATTTTTAATAATTTTTCGAATTCATTAAAATGTTCTTTTGATGGTGAAAATGCAATTGATAAATATTCAATTAAAGGACAATTTTCATAAATTTTACGAATAAAATTGAGTGAACTTTCATTAAAGTTATCATTAAATTCGAAGTCAATAGTATCATAAGGTCTGAATAAAATTTTTTTTAGACGTCCTCCACCATTTTCAATTATACTAGAAATTACATTTAATTTATTGAACTCTATATTAAGGATTTCAAGATCATGATAAACCAAGTTTTTCAATTGTTCTTCATTAAAAAGAAGATAATCATCTATTAATAATGTTTTTAGTTTATGAAATTTTGGAAGTATATTTTGTAATAATGTATGTTCAATATTAAATACAATTCGGAAGAATATCCTTAAGTGATCGATACTATCTGCCTTTTTTTCTAATGCGTGAAGAAATATATCATAAGGATCTTCTTTAAGATAATCATCATCGAAATCATCTTTCCATTCAAAATATTTTAAATTCTTTTGAACTTCAATTAATTTAACAATTCCATGATTAGGTTTTGTGTCTATATTAATAATGATAAGTCTCTGTATATGTTGACAGAAACGTGATAATCCATAAAAGTATGCAGAATCAATGGATGTATCACATTTTAATTCACAAAGTGATTCAAGACGAGTATTAGCTTCCGGAAAATAAAATATTTGATGCTTAATTAATCTCATATCAAAATACTTTAACTCTGGACATTTTCTCATAAAGAGACCATAGAATTCTTGTTGTATATAAAATTGATTATAAGCCAAAGATGATCCAATAGAAATTACATTATTTATAGTGCTTACATTGATACTTCTGCAAAAAGATAAATAATCAAACAAGAGAGATTTTTTTGAAGGTAATTGAATTCCTTGTTCCGTTATGAATTCTTTAATATCATCAAATAAGTAACATGTAATAACGACGAATAAATTGTTTTTATTACTATAATTAATACCGTTATAGGACCATGGGTTCCTCCATAAAATCGGAACTACTGTTTCACACCAAAGTCTATTAACCAATAAACATGAAAATAGGGATTTTGAGTTGTCTTGTAATTCTTCAAATATTAGGAAGAGAATATCTTTATTAAGTTTTGACATTCTTTATTCAAAAAAAAAAAAAAAACGTGT